GGTCTTCCTGAGAACATCTCCATTATGACAGATCACACTTCGGAGCAGATGGAAAACTTTTAGGAACGATATGAACCATTAATATTTTGCAAAAATGGTGGAGGCGCCAAAATAAAAATTCGATTTTATCTCTGTTAGTTGAGACATTTTCGTAAAAGTATCTACTAATTCGTAATCTTGGGAAAATTTTGTTCAAGAGTAATTACATTTTGGTTAAGTTAGAACCATTTTAAGATTAATTTAAACAAACTTTCATATTTCGTTAAAAATGGTGGAGGCGCCAAACTAAAAAATTAATTTTCGGCTTAATTGAGAACATGTTCTAAAAAGAAGCATAAGTCCGTAATACATAATGTATATAAGAATAATATATGTAATAAGTATTTTGCTAAAAATTATAGAGGCAAGGAATTATGTAGTGGAGATTCTGGTTCACTTTTATCTTAAACAATTTGAATTTGTGCACATGCGCGGCTTTTGGTTCAACTTGGACACGATTGATTCACTTCGGTCAGGGTCGACTAACTTCGGCCACGTAAGCCGCCCATGAGCACGAATTTAAATTTTCCAGCCAAAGAGTGAACCAGGAGTCCCGATAACTACGTATAACTTTTGATTTGACAAAAAAAAATTACAATTTTCTGCGTTAGTTGAAGGAATATAAAAATTCCACTCTTCAAAAAAGATGGACTCATTTTGGAACCGAATTCAACAAGTACAATACTTTGCTAAAACTTGAGGAGGCGTCAATATAAAACTGAACTCTTTGCGATAATTGCGAAAACATTGGAAAAGTATGCGCAGATTCTTGATTGGCATTTTCCAAAATTTTGCCAAAATAGTGGAAGTTCTAGAATAAAAATTAAATTTTTTCTCCATTAGTTGACAAAATGTCATAACAATAAATACAACAACAAATTTTCTTTAGGATTAATTACAATTTCAACCAGTTAGAAGCCGTTTTGGACCGATTTAAGCAACTTTCATATTTTACTAATAAGTTAAGACTAATTTTGGCAAATGATATCCCCTGTAAGAAAATAAGGGCGGGTGGGCGGGGCTACTACTTGTTAAGTTAAGACTGAAAAATATTAAGAGTAGTCTCTGGAATAAAGAGGGGGTGGGTGGGCGGGGCTACTACTTTAGAAACAAGCCAAACTCCGTTCCGCCCATCTTTTTTACTATTTCATTGTCTTATTTTATTACTGTAAAATGTCAATCTAAAATTTAAAACAATGTGAAAAGTGGCCCCGCCCATCCACCCCCTCTATCTCGTTTGGATCATTCCTTCTAATTAGCTGTGAAAAACGGAAACACTCTTTTTTAATAAAATTTAATTATGACTTTTTTTTCTAAAAAATGTTTCAGTTTCAATTTTTGATTTGCAATTTTTTTATCTTTCATTTTAAATAAGTAATAATAATAATCATTTTTCAAATATTATTGGAATTTAAGACTTCTCCGTTTATATACGACTTTTCTTCTTTTGATTCTTCATTTTTTCATTTCTTCAAATTTTCGATTTGCAATTTTTCGGTTCAGCTTTTTATTTCCTTTATTTTATATAAAAATGAAACTTTCGTCCTTAATTAAATAGAGATCCTAAAAACAAGCATTAGTTCGTGATCCTGTAAAAATTTTCACTAGATTGATGACATATGAACTATTTTTTTCTCTGTTACTTGAGAAAATTTCTTAAAAATAAATTCTGATTCGTAATAATGGGAATTTTTTTTAAGATTAATTACACTTTGGATAAATTAAAACCATTTTAGGATCGATTTAAACTACTTCCATATTTCGTTAAAAATGGTGGAGGTGCCAAATCAAAAAAGCAATTTTCGTCCTTAATTGAATAGATGTCGTAAAATCCTGTGAAAATTTTCATTAAAGGTACCAAAATAAAACTAGTATTGAAGAAGTGTCTTAAAAATAACCACAAAGTCGCAATCCTAACAAAATTTCCATTATGACAGATCACACTTCGGAGCAGATGGAACACTTTTAGGAACGATATGAACCATTAATATTTTGCAAAAATTGTGGAGGCGCCAAAATAAAAATTCGATTTTATCTCTGTTAGTTGAGACATTTTCGTAAAAATATCTACTGATTCGTAATCTTGGGAAAATTTTGTTCCAGAGTAGTTACACTTTGGTTAAGTTAGAACCATTTTAAGATTAATTTAAACGACTTTCATATTTCGTTAAAAATGGTGGAGGCGCCAAACTAAAAAATCGATTTTCGGCCTTAATTGAAAAAATGTTCTAAAAACAAGCATAAGTCCGTAATCCCGTGAAAATTTCCATTAAAGGTTCAATTTCGGACCAGGTGGAACATTTTTATGGCAACGATATGAATAACTATAAAGTACCAAAATAAAACTACAATTTTCTCCGTCACTGGAAAAAATATGGCAAAAATGAGCGCAAATTGGTCTTCCTGAGAACATCTCCATTATGACAGGTCACACTTCGGAGCAGATGGAAAACTTTTAGGAACGATATGAACCATTAATATTTTGCAAAAATGGTGGAGGCGCCAAAATAAAAATTCGATTTTGTCTCTGTTAGTTGAGACATTTTCGTAAAAATATCTACTGATTCGTAATCTTGGGAAAATTTTGTTCCAGAGTAGTTACACTTTGGTTAAGTTAGAACCATTTTAGGATTAATTTAAACAACTTTCATATTTCGTTAAAAATGGCGGAGGCGCCAAACTAATAAAGCAATTTTCGGCCTTAATTGAAAAGATGTTCTAAAAACAAGCATAAGTCCGTAATCCCGTGAAAATTTCCATTAAAGGTTCAATTTCGGACCAGGTGGAACTTTTTATGGGAACGGTATGAATAACTATAAAGGTACCAAAATAGAACTACCATTTTCTCCGTCACTGGAAAAGATATCGCTAAAATGAGCACAAATTGGTCTGCCTGAGAACATCTCCATTATGACAGATCACACTTCGGAGCAGATGGAAAACTTTTAGGAACGATATAAACCATTAATATTTTGCAAAAATGGTGGAGGCGCCAAAATAAAAATTCGATTTTATCTCTGTTAGTTGAAACATTTTCTTAAAAATATCTACTGATTCGTAATCTTGGAAAATTTTTTTTCCAGAGTAGTTACACTTTGGTTAAGTTAGAACCATTTTAAGATTAATTTAAACAACTTTCATATTTCGTTAAAAATGGTGGAGGCGCCAAACTAAAAAACCAATTTTCGGCCTTAATTGAGAAGATGTTCTAAAAACAAGCATAAGTCCGTAATCCCGTAAAAATTTCTATTAAAGGTTCAATTTCGGGCCAGGTGGAACCTTTTTATGGGAACGATATGAATAACTATAAAGGTACCAAAATAAAACCACAATTTTCTCCGTCGCTGAAACAAATATCGCAAAAATGAGCACAAATTGGCCTTCCTGAGAACATCTCCATTATGACAGATTACACTTCGGAGCAGATGGAAAACTTTTAGGAACGATATGAACCATTAAAATTTTGCAAAAATGGTCGAAGCGCCAAAATAGAAATTCGATTATCTCCTTTAGGTGAGACATTTTCGTAAAAGAATCTACTGATTCGTAATCTTGGGAAGATTTTCTTTAAGATTAATTATTCTTTGGTTAAGTTAGATCCATTATAAGATTAATTTAAACAACTTTCTCGTTAAAAATGGTGGAGGCGCCAAATTAAAAAAGCAATTTTCGTCCTTAATTCAGTAGATGTCCTAAAAACAAGCATACGTCCGTAATCCCGTAAAAATTTCCATTAAATTCAATTTTGGAGCTGGTGGAACCTTTTCGGAACAACTGAATAAATTCTAAAATTTTACCAAAAATGGCTGAGGCGCCGGGATATTTTTTATTATATTAGTTGAAGAAATATCATAAAAGTAAAAACAAATTTTTAATACAATGGAGTATTTAGAATCCTTTTAAAACCGAATTAAACAGCTCTAATATTTTGTTAAGGATATTTTTTGTGCTAGGAAAATGGAATCAATCAATTATGACCATTTTCAATACCCAGCTTTTAACGTTTACGACACAACATTTCTGATTCAATAATAATATAAAGCTCCCACTATACTATTTATATCTCGTACAAGAACTTCCACAAAGTATTCTTCTATTGTATGAAAACCACGTCGTAACATGCCATTTACAAGCCTAGAAATCCTCAAACAAAGCCCAAAATAGTAAGTTTCCTCGTACCGCCCACCCTCCCTTCGGCCTAATAATTCCACCCGCCTGAAATAAACTGATCAAACTCGACTTCTTGAAATCATTAGCATTCGTTAAGAAAATTCAATTTCGCAGCGGTCACCTTCCTTTCAAAATGAAATTACGCTTAATTTAAACTCGGGCGCTCCGGCAGCTTGCCGTCCGGTAAATATAAATAAAGTTATCTGTAGATCTTTAGCCACTTTAAACAAACCCTCGGATAGACCTATTGTTTATTTTCTGAATGTCCCTTGAGGACGTCAAACAAACCCGAAAGGGTCATGCTTTGTTTAAGGAAATCATTTGAACTCGGTTCGCTTCAAGTAGCAGACAGAAGTGTGCGTCCAATCCCTCAGAAATGCACTCTTCGATGTTGATTTTATTCGCTTTTTCATATCGAAAAAATAAATAGAGGGAGGTGCCAGATCGACGGCGTGTTTTTACAAGGTTTCTTTTTATTATCCTTCTGCTACCGCAAAGCAAATAAGCAGCTCGGATTTTTTTGTAAAGGGAAATTAAGGAGAGGAAATTCTAAAAGGACAGCGTTTGTTTGCAGAGTCGGGGAATTTTCAAGATGTAAACAGAAAAAATGAAAACAGGGCGAGGCACGAAAACAACGGAACGTAGACTGAATAATGCACAACGCGATATTTAATTAAGCGACGTTTAAACACTAGACGATATTATTTCCAGCTCCAAAACAAGCAAAACGGATAAAATATTACTTACCTTGGTTCGCTTCCCGGTACAGGTGCAGGAATAAGACGCCTTCAAATAGATAATATATTTATTTACTTATCAACATCCATTCATTTCAAAAACGTTGCTTACAATGTCAACGAATAATCACCGAAACCATACAAAATTTAGACATCTTCTAACCGACTAGTTGCAGCAAATTTCATCACAATTATATTTATGTTCTTACAGTTATTACAACGAAACTAAATTGAACATCTCAACAAAACAGTCTTACGACATTGAAAAGAACAATAATAAGAATAAGATATTTATTACGTTGAAGGATGTGACGTAGTGGCAGCCAGCCGAACTCTGGGTAACTGTAACAGAGAAAAACAGACATTTAGGAACTTTGTCTGATACATCATTTGTCATTTTCGTGGTACGGGAATTAAAAAAAAAGACACAAGAAACCGTAGAAGAAGTCGACCGATGGAAAAACACAAATCGCTGCTAAAGAAATGACGTTGTTGTCATTTTTCACGTGTGGGGAGAGTTCAGGCTTTCCCAGGATAATTTACGAAGATTTTCACAAATGTGAAGGCGGAAAAATGGAAAACGATAGTGAAGTGCAGGTGCTTATTAAATTCACGGGATAAACAGGCGAAATCGAGGACAGGCGACGCAGTTTTACGACGCAATATCAGTTCTTGTCGAAGGACTAAATCGTAGTGTTGTTAAATCGGAATCTTGAGTGTCAAAAGTCGATAAAAATGGGATTTTTAATACCTGAGAGTGTTTCGCTTAATACAACTTTATTGATTCGTCCGTATAGTATATATAGTTGTCATTTTTTCATTTTTTTACATCTCTACTTCATTTATTAAATCTTACTTAGACAGACTACATCGAATTTTAATCGTTTAGTTTTATTATTAATTCCGGCGTTGCTCAGGGCTCCGACGCCGGATCTTGCTCTTTCTTCTTTTCATAAACGACGTTATTAATTTATTTCATGTTCGAGTACTTTTGCTTGCAGATGATTTCAAATTATTTGCCGAGGAAAATAATGTTATTAAAATAGACTTCACTGACTACGTAAGAAATTGATTTTGCAATATTTATAATTTAATAGTAAACTCTAACAGATATGTTGACACATTTATTAATTATTTTTTTAATGCAAAAAAAAATTAAAGACAAGTAGCGAAGAGAGGAAGAGTAGAGAGAAACTGAAGTGAGAAAGAGAGGGAATGAAAGGGAGAGACAGCGAGAGGAAAAAGACACGAAAGGGAAGAGAGAGCGCGAGAGAGAGGTAGGGGAAGAAATGGACGAGACGAAGGAAATGAGAAACAAAAAGGAAGCAGAAATGTAAAAGAAAGGAAACGGAAAAAAGGCAAAGAGTGCAAACTGTGAAAAAAAAATGGAATGACAAAGAGGAAGAGTGGAAGAGAGAGGAAAGAAACTTGTGAAAGTGCAGAAACGAAAAAGAGAGGGTAAACGGAAGATCAAGGAAGAGTAAAAGATAAAGAGAGGTACGAAACAAGGAGGAGAGAGAAAGAGAAGGAAAACAGGAGAGATAGAAAGTAAGGGGAAGAGACTGAAAGCGGGAAAGGAAGAGAAAAGAAAAAGGAACTGGAAAGAAAGGTAGAACAGAATAGAGAAGGAGGGAGAATAGCAGAACAAAAGGAAAAGAAAATGGGAGAGAGAGAAAGAGAGAGAGGGAGAGACATAATAAACATTACGGAAGAGAGAGAGAGGAATTGTAAAGAATGCAGAGAAAGTGCACGTGAGGAAAACACTGGGTAGAAAAAGAGAGGGAAGTGGAAAAAGAAATAGAAGAGAAACGATAGAGGAAAATAAAACGATAAAAAAATGATAGAAAACAGAGGCGGAGAAAATGAAAGAGAGAGGGAGAAAAGAAATGAGAAGGAGAATGGAGAAACAGAGAGTGGTATAGAAGAACTTGGGCTGAGGGAAAGACAAAAGAAAGAGAGAAGGGAAAACAGCGGAAAGAGATAGAATAACTAGAAGAAAAAAGGAAATGAGAGTGATGAATTGATAGGAAAAAGGGAGAGAGAGAAAAAATGATAAGTTAGAAACGGAAAGGAAACGATAGGGAAAAGCAGAGAGAGAGGGAGAGTGAGAGAGATTAGGAGAGAAGAAGAGAAAATGAAAGTGGGAGAAGAAGAGAAAATGAGAGTGGGAGAGGAAGAGAAAATGGGAGAGAGAGAGCGAAGAAAAAACGGGCAAGAAGAAAAAATTGCAAGGATAAACACAGTAGGGATTGAGAGGAAACAAAGATAGGAAATCATAGGAAAGAGATGGAGAGGAAATGGTAGGAAAGGTAGAGAGAAAGCTAGATGCAAAAAAAAAAGGGAGACATCGTACAAATGAGAGGGACAGTGCGGAAATGACAGGATTAGAGAAAGGGAAAAGAGAGTGAACGAGCAAAAAGAAATGGGCGAGTGAAAGCGAACGAGAAAGATAAAGGAAGCGGTAGCATAGGAGAAAGAAATTATTTCCTTCTGTCGAGTAGGGTGAAAACTAATAATAGAATCTAGGATGTGAAAAAAAGAAAAAAATTAGCTAATCGTAACTTTTTTTGTGAAATACTATTTGTTATAAAATTTATTTCTTGTTTTACCTCTTCGTCTACATTCCACTCTGTACCACTATAAATGCCACTTTTTGACCAGTAAAAAACCGGGTGGGTGGGCGGGGCTAATTATGTTCTTCTGTCGAATGGGAGTGGAAAGTGCATAAATCATTCTTATCTTATCAAATAGGAGCCCCGCCCACCCACCCTCAATTTGCTTGGGGGATATGTCATGTGCCAAAATCAGTCTTACCTTAGGAAAGTACTAGCCCGACCCCCCCCCCACTCTTTTTCTCATTCTAATAACTAATTTTGTTTTTGTTGACTATAAGATCATTCATTTCATTCAGATAGGACAAAATCAATAACTGAAAAGGAGGCAGGGTGGGTGGGCGGGGTTAATTATGTTCTTGTGTCGAGTGGGAGTGGAAAAAAGTATGATGGAGAAAGAAGGAGGAGGGAGAAATAGAGGGTGGTATAAAGGAACTAGAGGTGTAGGAAAGTCAAGAAAAAGAGAGAAGGAAAAACAGGGGAGAAAGAGAGAGGGAATGAGTAAAAGAAAAAGAGGAAATGATAGAAAAACGAGAGGGAAAGAAAATAATAAGGAAGAAACGGAAAATAGACAAGAAGGGGGGAAACGGAAAAGAGGGGACAGAATAGAAGAGGAGACTAGAAATTGGAAGTAGGAGAGGAAGAAAAAATGGGAAAGAGAGAGAAAGAGAGAAGAGAAACCGGACAAGAACAAAAAATTGGAAGGATAGGAGGCGGAAAAGATAAAGAGAAAAAGGATAGAAAGAGAATGAAAGCACGAAAGGAAGAGAAATTTGTAGGAAAAGGGAGAAATAGATCTAGATGCAAAAAAAAACGGAAGAGAAATTCCAAATGAGAAAAAAAAGAGAGTAACGAGAGAAAAGAAATGGGAGAGACAAAGGGAGTGAGAACGAGCAAGAGAAGAAAGAAACTGGCTAAAATGAAGAAATAGGAGAAATAGGAGAAACGAAAGATGAAGTAAGGAATAAGAAAACAAACTAAACGAAGAACAGGGAGGGCAGGAAATAATGAGAGTGTGAACGGAATCGTGAGAAGAAAGAAACTGAAAATAGAGGGAAAACGAGAGAGAGAGAGAGAGAAAGGAATAGAATAGAAAAAAGAGGTAATGAGAGTGATGAAATGATAGGAAAAAGGGAGAGAGAGAAGAAATGATAAGTAAGAAACGGAAAGGGAACGATAGGAAAAAGAAGAGAGAGAGAGAGAGAGAGAGAAGAAGAGAAAATGAAAGTGGGAGAGGAAGATAAAATTGGAGAGAGACAGTGAAGAAAAAACAGGCAAGAAGAAAAAATTGTAAGGATAAAGACACACACACAGAGAGAGAGGGAGAAAATGTAAGGCAGAGAGAAAGAAAACACAGTAGGGATTGAGAGGAAACAAGGAAAAAAGAGAGAAAGAAAGATAGGAAGTCATGGGAAAGAGAGGGAGAGGAAATGGTAGGAAAAGGAAAACAGAAAACTAGATGCAAAAAAAAGTTAGAGATCGTACAAATGAGAGGGACAGTGAGGAAATGACAGGATTAGAGAAGAAGAAGAAAGAGTGAACGAGCGAAAAGAAATGGGCGAGAGAAAGCGAACGAGAAAGATAAAGGAAGCGATAGCATAGGAAAAAGAAAACGGAAGAATGGTAGAGGGAAAAAGTATGATGGAGAGAGAAGGAAGAGTGAAGAGTAAAACTAGCGAGTGACAACTAAAAGAGAAGGAGAGCGCTATAAAACAGAATATACAAGGAGAAATGGAAAAATAAGGAAGGAACAAATAGAGAGTAATGGAAGAGAAATTAAAGGATAAAGACAGAAACAAAACGAATAAGAGAGAGAGAGAGAGAGATCAGGAGATAAAAGAGTAGAAAGAGTTGAAGCGGTAGAGGAAGAGAAACTGGAAGAGACACGAAAAAAGAGAGAGAGTAAATAGAAACAGGGGAGAAAACGAAAACAGAAAATAGAAGAAATATGAGGGGGCAAGAGAAAGAGGGGAAATAGTAATGAAGAGAAAAGGGGAAATGTAATGGTGAGGGAGGAAGGGAGCAAGAGGGAAAAACGGGCAGGCAGAGGAAACGAAGAAGACAAGGAAAACGAAAAAGAAAGAGAGAACAGGAACGATAGAGAGAACGGAAAGGAGAAAAGAAATGGGAGAGAGGAGGGAGAAATAGAGGGTGGTATAGAGGAACTTGAGGTGCAGGAAAGACAAGAGAAATAGAGAGGGAATGAGTAAAAGAAAAGAGGAAATGAGAGTTATGAAATGATAGAAAAACGAGAGGGAAAGAAAATAATAAGGAAGAAACGGAAAATAGAAAAGAAGAGCGGAAACGAAAAAGAGGGGACAGAATGGAAGAGGAGACTAGAAATTGGAATTAAGAGAGGAAGAAAAAATGGGAAAGAGAGAGAGAAAGAGAGAAGAAAAAACGGACAAGAAGAAAACATTGGAAGGATAGGAGGCGGAAAAGATAAAAAGAAAAAGGAGAATGAAAGCACGAAAGGAAGAGAAATTGAAAAGAGGAGAAATTATGAGAGAGAGAGGAAGAGAACAACAGGGAAAAAACGACCGAGAAGAGGAAAAGAAAAAGACGTGGGAAACAGGAAAGATAGAGAGACTGGAAACGGAAGAGGGAAAAGAAATGAGAGAAAGAAGGGAGTAAATGATAAGGCAGAAACGGAAAATAGAAAAGAATAAGGGAAACGAGAAAGAGATAAGAAGATTAGGAAAAACAAGAGAAAATGGAAGTAGCAGAGGCAGAGGAAATGGGAGGGAGGGAGAGAGAAAGAAGAAAAAATTGAAATGATAGGAGAAAAAACTAGAAAGTCTAAGATAGAGAGAATGGAAGACAAAGATGAAAAGCAAACAGTAGAGATAGAGAGGAAACAAGAAGTGTGAAAGAGAGAGAGAGAGAGAGAAAATTGTAGGAAAAGGGAGAAAGAGATCTAGATACAAAAAAACGGAAGAGAAATTCCAAATGAGAGAAAAAAAGAGAGTTAACGAGAGAAAATAAATGGGAGAGACAAAGGAAATGAGAACGAGCAAAAGAATGAAGAAATGGGAGAAATAGGAGAAGCCAAAGATGAAGTAAGGAATAAGAAAACAAACTAAACGAAGAACAGAGAGGGCAGAAAATAGTGAGAGGGTGAACGGAATCGTGAGAAGAAAGAAACTGGAAAGAGAGGGAAAACAAGAGAGAGAGAGAGAGAAAGGAATAGAATCGAAAAAAGGGGTAATGAGAGTGATTAAATGATAATAATTAGAGAGAAGAAATGACACGGAAGAGACGGAAATGAAAAGATATGGAGAAGGAGAAAGAAAGCGAGAGCGAAAAATGGGCGAGACGAAGAAAGAGAAAACGGAGGTGAGTGAGAGAGAAAGAGCGTGAAAGAGAGTAGAAAGTTAATTTCAAATTATTTACTGTAATCATCTCATCGGACTACCAAAAACGGCGAAAAAAATCAGGACTTCGTTAAAAATAGACTTGATTGACTAAGTAATAATTTGAGTTAGGAAATTATTATTATTATATTGTTGTTGAAAGTTTATTTCCTGACGAAATAATTTTATAATTTGATATTAAATTTTAAACAAATACTTTGACGAATTTATTTATTCTTAATACAAAAAATTAATCTATAAAAAATGTTTAATAATTCAAATATTTGAAATAGACAAAAATCCCGAAAGTGAAGAAATCGTCTCTTGAAATGAATCTGTTTTAAATGCTGTGGTATCACGAACCAATAACGAATTAATTTGACGTAAATAAGCATCGAATGTGAAACCTTCGAACCAGAATATTTAAACTGCTGATTAATTGCGCAAAATTTACCATATCAACACAGAATAATAATTACATATCACTACACAGATCAAATCATTCCTAGAATAACTGACAATCGAAGTCTCAAATAACCATATTTAGCCCAATATTGGGTATCTCACACAAGCATGCAACACAAAGGATTTGAATTACAGTTATACGAGTACATCTGCCAATAATTGGCAGAAATAACCACATATTAATTTCAACATACAAATCAAACTTCACCAGAAAACATAAACGGTATTTGCTACCGCTAGTCTAAATTGAGAACATCCTGTATAACAACGAAGCCGCAAACCCAACTGTAGTGCCAATGTTAATTGAGAAACTAAAATTTTCAAAGTAGAATAAATTAATAATTGTCACAATTCGAAGAGGTGTTTTTAGGAACACATATTATTTGACACTCGTTTTTTAAACACTCGCTCCACTGGTTTTTAAATAAACTCGTGACTAAAATGGCGTTTATAAAACTTACTCAATTAAAATTTTTATCGGTGATTTTGATTTTACAGACTTTTTCTCAAGAAATTGGTTGAATGGAATAACATTTATTTGACAGAAAACATACATTTTTAATTAATTTTACATGGTTGTCACACAAGCACAGTATAATCAGCATACATAGAGCTATCAGGCTTTGAATTTTATATTTGTACAGATCAAAAGCAGACTCAGTGACATATGTACTTCAGAACTTATAAGCAAGCACTTTACAAGTTTTATTTAAATGGATGAACAAAAACTAGCAAAAAATTAAGAGCTTTCTCTGCGACTCCCTTCTATGAAACCCAGTTTACACTGAAGCAATTCTTTTGAGTAATCACGAGAAACCTCTTAATTGAAAAAGAAAATTTCGAAGCTTCTCTAATCCCAACATCTACCCTTTCATCGTATCAAGAATGAAACATCAACGTCGAGTGCTGCAGATCCTAGTTAACAAAAAACCAAACAACATGGTTGCATGCAAGCAAGTTCTTGTTTAATTTTCCATCAGCGAAGATGCCTTCCGCCCCCCCACTCACCTCTAGCCGGCACGGGATCTTTCACGTTATAGATACTCATCTGGACGTCCTTTTCATAAAGTGTCCCTATTTTCGCAATACACTTGAGCACGATTATGCCCCCGTGAAAGTGCGACGGGAAAAGCGGGAGCTCTAGCGACAGCTCGCTCCACCAAATTTGGTTTTCTGGATGTTTGCGGGTTACGCATTTCTCGCACACCTGCAATCAAGAAGAATAACACTGATGAAACGATGGAATCTCCGTAAAAATTATTATTGGAGAGGGTTTTAAAGACGCGTTCTGAATTTTATTAATTACGCCGTAAATTTCGCCTTTCATCTGCCAGCTTTCATCGACGATCGTAAATTTAACTCGATACTTTTTGCGTAAGGGATGATTGATTTTCGGGGTAATTTCAGGTGGGGTGCTTTGTTTAGCACGCCGTTAACGGGTTTATTGCGGAGATAATGGCCTTTTTCTCGGTCGGGAAGATCTGGATGGAGGTGGCGAGACAGTTCGCAAAGTTAGAAAGTTTAGGACAACGATACAGGATGAATAGATTGACTTGTTACCTGAGATTGGCAGGCGTGTCACCAATTAAGGTACTAAAATTCGAAATTAGGGTGTAAAGTAAAAATATATGGTTTTTTTTAGCAAAAAAAAAAAACAAGATACATATCATAGTTGGGGTCGGTTGCTCGGGCGCCACCTGGGGTACTCTAACCGGAGAAACGGATCTCCAGGGGGTCTGAGTGCCCACGGCAGAAATACTTAATAAATCCTGTTAAACATAAAAATAATCGGCTTTTATTTCCTGCCACCAACACAAAATATGGAAAAAAAGTCAAGTTAAGTCAGGTCAGGTCCGATGAGGTCAACTTAAGTTAAGTCAGGTCAGGTCAGATCGGGTCAGGTAAGATCACGAATAGGAATTAGCAGGGAGGGTGAGTTTACCGGGAGGGAAGGAAAGGGAGAAAGACAGAGTTTTTTTTTTCAATGTAAAATTTTTCAATTTTTGATTTTTTTTATTTTCCATTTGCTTTTTTTTGGTTTCCAATTTTCGGTTTTTCAAACTTTAAATTTTGTAATTTTTCGTTTCTTCAATTTCTGATTTGCAATTTTTCGAGTTTTCAAGGTTAAATTTGTCAGTTTGTTCCGATTTTATTAGTTTTATTTTTTCAATGTAAAATTTTTCAATTTTTTTTTTAATTTTTCCATTTTTCTATTTTGTGGTTATTATCAATATTCGGTTTTTCAATTTTTCAATTCTCTAATTTTTCGTTTCTTGCAATTTTTCGAGTTTTCGAGTTTAAATGTTTCAGTTTTTCAATTTTCCAAAGTTTTAATTTTTCAATTTTAAAAATTTGCTAATATTTAATTTAAAATTTCTCAAGTTTTCAATTTTTATTTTTTTCAATTTTTTGATTCTTCAAGTCTTCAAATCTACGACTTGCAACTTCTCGTTTGGCTTTATTATTTTTAATTCTTACAATTTTTAGATTATTTCAGTCTTACGATTTTATAATTTTTGTTTTTTTTTCAATTTTTTCTTTCTTCAAATTTTTTATATACAATTTTTAAATTTTTCATTTTTTTGTTTCTTTAATTTTGGTGATGTGTAAAACTTCAAGTTTGCATTTGTCAATTTTTCAGGTTTTCGATTTTCCAAATTCCAGAAATTCCCAATTTTTCGATTTGCAACTTTTAATTTCGGTGTTTTATTTTCTATTATTTTTTAAAATGTTACGGTTTTTTAAGTACCCGTTTTATAAACTTTTTTCTAAGTTCCTGCACTTTATAAGTTTCTTTCTAATGTGAAATTTTTCAATTTTTGAATTTTTTTATTTTTCGATTTGCTATTTTTTGGTTTTCAATTTTCGGTTTTTGAAATTTTAAATTTTATAGTTTTTCGTTTCTTCAATTACGATTTGCAATTTTTCGAGTTTTTAAGTTTAAATTTTTCCGTTTTTCAAATTTCCAACTTTTGAATGTCTCAATTTTAAAAATTTACAATACTTATTTTGATTTAAAATTTCTCAAATTTTTAATATTTCAATTTTCCGTTTCTTTAACTTTTTATTTCTTGAAAACTACGACTTGCAATTTTTCGTTTGGATTTATTATTTTGTTTATTCTTAAAATTTTTTGATTTTTCAGTGTTTTTCCAATTTCAATTTTTTCAGTTTTTCGATTTTCCAAATTTGGGTTTTATCAATTTCTAAGTTTTGCAATTTTTCGATTTGTAATTTTTCGTTTCAGTTCTTTATTTTCTTTATTTTTTTAATTTTTCGGGCTTCCAATGTTCTGATTTTTTTAATTTTTCTTTTTTTCAATGTGAAAATTTTCAATTTTTGGGTTTTCAATTTTTCGATTTGCAATTTTTGGGTTTTCCAATTTTCAATTTGCAATTTTTTGGATTTTTGATTTTTCAATTTTTAGATTTTTTAATTGTTCGTTTCTTCAATTTTAGATTTTTCAGTTTCTCGGTTTTTCAGTTTTTCGTTTCTACAATTTTCGATTTGCAATTGTCTGATTTTATATTTTTTTTAATGTGTAAATTTTCAATTTTTGGGTTTTTAAATTATTCTATTTGCAATTTTTCTTTTCTCAGTTTTTTATTTTCTCCATTTTCAATTTTTCGTGCTTTCAATATTCTAATTTTATAATTTTTCGTTTCTTCAATATGAAGTTTTTCAATTTTTGAGTTTTTCAATTTTTCGATTTACAATTTTTAATTTCAGTTTTTTATTTTCTTATTTTTTTAAATCTTACCGGTTTTCTAAATTCCTGCGCTTTATAAATTTTTGTCTAATGCGAAATTTTTCACTTTTTGAAGTTTTTTATTTTTCGATTTGCTGTTTTTTGGTTTTCAATTTTCGGTTTTTCAAATTTTAAATTTCATAATTTTTCGTTTCTTCAATTACGGTTTGCAATTTTCCGAGTTTTTAAGTTTAAATTTTTCCGTTTTTCATTCAAATTTCCAACTTTTGAATTTCTCAATTTTAAAAATTTACAATACTTATTTTGATTTAAAATTTCTCAAATTTTTTATTGTTCAAGTGTTCGTTTCCTTAACTTTTTATTTCTTCAAAACTACGACTTGTAATTTTTTGTTTGGAGATATTTTCTCTATTTTTCCAGTGATTTTTCAATTTCAATTTTTTCAATTTTTCGTTTCTTCAAATTTTCGAGATTTCATTTTTCAATTTTTCAGTTTTTCGATTTTCCAAATTTTGGTTTTTTCAATTTCTAAGCTCTCCAATTTTTCGATTTGTAATTTTTAATTTCGTGTTTTAATTTTTTTATTTTTTAAAATTTCGGGTTTTTCTAAGTCCCTGCTTTATAAGTGTTTTTCTCTATGTGAAACATTTCAACTTTTTGGATTTATCAATTTTTCGATTTGCCATTTGTCGGTTTTCAATTTTTCGTTTGTTCAAATTTTCAATTTACAATTTTTAATTTCAGTTTTTTATTTTCTTAATTTTTTAAATCTTACCGTTTTTCTAAATTCCAGCGCTTTATAAGTTTTTTTCTAATGCCAAATCTTTCAATTTTTGAAGTATTTTATTTTTCGATTTGCTATTTTCTGGTTTTCAATTTTTGGTTTTTCAAGTTTTCAATTTTTGGTTTTTCAAGTTTTAAATTTTATAATTTTTCGATTTGCTATTTGTTGGTTTTCAATTTTCAGTTTTTCAAATTTTAAATTTTATAATTTTTCCGTTTTTAAAATTTCTCAAATTTTTAATTTTTCAATTTTTCGCTCCTTTAACTTTTTATTTCTTCAAAACTACGACTTGCAATTTTTCATTTGGATTTATTCTTTTCTCTATTTTTACAATTTTTAGATTTTTCAGTGTTTTTTCACTTTCAATTTTTTCAATTTTTCGTTTCTTCAAATTTCCGAGACTTCATTTTTCAATTTTTCAGTTTTTCGATTTTCCAAATTTTGGTTTTTTCAATTTCTAAGTTTTGCAATTTTTCGATTTGCAATTTTTAATATCGTGTTTTAATTTTTTTTATTTTTTTAAAATTCAAGTTTTTCTAAGTCCCTGCTTTATGAGTATTTTTTCCTATGTGAAATCTTTCAATTTTTTGGATTTATCAATTTTTCGATTAGCCATTTTTCGGTTTTCAATTTCTCGTTTGTTCAAATTTTCAATTTACAATTTTTAAATTGTTAATTTTTTTTCCGTTGTGTAACACTTCGAGATTTAATTTTTCAATTTTTTAGTTTTTCGATTTTCCAAATTTTCATTTTTCATTTGCAACTTTTAATTTCCGATTTTTATTTTCCTAATTCGTTAAATTTTTCGGTTTTCCTAAATTCCTGCTTTATAAGTTTTTTTTTCAATGTGAAATTTTTCAATTTTTGGATTTTTCAATTTTTCCATTTGCCATTTTTCAGTTTCCAATTTAAGCCAGCAAATATGAAAAAACTAATATTTATCTACAATACAACTTTCGATAGACCCGGACAAAATCAGCTCAGGTCAGGTCAGGTCAGATCAGGAGTAGGAATTGGCAGGGAGAGTGAGTGCGCAAGACGAAAAAACAAAAAGAAAGAAAAAGAGAGAGAGAGAAGAAAAAACGGGTTAGAAGAGAAAATTGAAAAATAGAAAAGAAAAGAAAGATAGAGAGAGAGACGGAGTGAAAAACGGAGAGGAAGAGAAAACTGTAGAGATAGACAGGAAACAAGGAAGAGAAAGATAAAGATAAGAAACCATATGAAATAGACAGAGAGAAAATCGTAGGGAAACGGAAAGAGAGAGCTAGAGCCCAAAAAACGGGAGGGACAATGCGGAAATGACAGGAGTATAGAAAAAAAAGAATGAATGAGAGGGAAGAAACGGACGAGAAACAGGAAACGAGAAAGGTAAAGAAAATGGTTATGTAAGAAAAAGAAAACGAATGGGTGGTAGGAGAAAACAGAGTGATGGAAAGAGGAAGAAGGCGCAAAGAAGTGCCTGTGTGCAAGTGAGAGGTGAAAAGGGACGAGACCGCTAGAAAACAGATTATACAAAGAAAAATGGAAAGATAAGAAGAGAACGAGAAAAAGAGGAGAGAAACTGACAAGAGTGAAGAAATAGGAGAGATATGAGAAGCGGAAGAGAAAATGAAGGCTAAGGAAGGGAAGAAATGTATTTATTTTTTTTAGATAAAGAGTGGGGGAATGTAAGTGGGAGAGGAAGAGAAGCTAAAAAACAAAAAAAGAGAGGGAA